TAATTTAGATGCTTGAGGGGTAATGTAAGCTTTTCTGTTCCGTTTGGCAGGATTTCAGGATCTAAGGCTCGCTTGATACATGAAAATATCTTTTAGTTTTTACTTTCCACAACCATATATGTTATACATTAAAAATGTGGATTTTTTAAAACTAAACAATGTTAAAAAAATGATTATGAAAATGTCACATGAGGTTTGAGGGAACAACAAAAATCTATTTGTTGTGTTTTCTAAAAATTGTTTTGTTTATGCTTGAGTACCCGTGTCCCCGCATATAAATATATCAACATACAATGTAAAGTACCAATCAGGGTCCAAGTTTTCCTACACAAACTAATCAAATTTATGGTCATGCAGAATTTGAAAATGAAGATTAGTCATCCCAGATTCCTAACGGTTGGAAATCAGGAGTTGACAATGAAGTTTCCTGATTACTTAGAAAAGAAGATGGATGTTGAACAAAGTAGTGCCCATGTTAGCCCAAATATAGCTTCTCAAAATGTGTTTCTGTTTCCGGAGGTTAGTCTATAAAATCGTTTTGTGCATTCTATATTGCGTTCTTAATCTAATCGGTTAGAGCCACTCTGCCATTCTGGTAATAAGCTTTATATTTTTCTTGTGCCTTTTAGGATGTATCAATTCAGGGAGAAACACCTTTGTTGTGGTCCCTGTGGTTTCGAGCTGCTGTTCCTGGAAATATATCATTGTACATGACAATATACTATGAGATGGAGGATATGTCAAGTACCATGAGATATCGCACTCTTCGGATGCATTACAATTTTCAGGTAATACATGGATATGAACAAATTATGAGGATTTTTTCTTTGCTTTTTTTTTTTTTGCCGTTTACTATTTTTTTCCCTTAATATTACCTTCATAATCGGGGTTATCTTTAGTAACTGCAAAATCCTAAGTAAATTAAATACCTACCAGACAACCATGCACAGTTTTTAGTTGTGTTATCTATGCTATATTAAATGTCTGATTGTTGAGGAGATCTAGTAGTTCTGGATTGCCGATGAGTGGAATCCATGTTAGAGGCTTTGTGAAAGAAGTAACTTTAAGCATTCTATTTTTAGTTTACTTTTGCTAACGAAATAAGAGGTGCTTATTAGTTACTTCAAAGTAACTTTATATGGGGAAAAATAAACACCCTATTAACCTTTTGTTGGTACTTTTAGATCCAAGTAACTTATCTTTTTGCTCTCTACTTGTAATTGCTTAATTTTTCAATGGGCACCTAATTGCTTTAACTAACTTAAGAAGCATATTTGTTAAACAAGATAGAACACACTCTTAGTCGTATAACCTTTTCTGGTTAAGGGGGACTTACATTCACTTGTATTAAAGGTATAAGCAAGACTTACATTGTATGCTTTTATTAGGTTTTACCATCATTGGATGTGTCATTCCAAATCAGTCCCTGTCCATCAAGATTGCAAGAGTACCTTGTGCGAATGGATGTTATCAATCAGACAAGTACAGAATGTTTCCAGGTTCGTCAGTTATCGTCTGTTGGACGCCAGTGGGAAATCTCATTGCTTCCATCTCTTGATTCCATATTACCTTCACAATCCTTATTTGCCGGTCAAGCATTTTCGTGGTTCTTCATGCTCAAGGTCAGTGGAAGAATCATCTGTAGTTGTTTCCTCTTTTTTAAAGAACGGAATTGGGGCATTTGGTGCTAACACTTGCTAGCAGCTAGTTCAATTTGTAGCGGTTACTTCTGTTCTAATCTCTTTGGTCAAGACATGAATTCAACTTTTCTTTGTTCATTCATATGAAGGTCTTATTTTTTACTTCTCGACGTCTATACAATCAAGAAGGATAATTTGATTAGGATTGGGATTTTCCAAGTTTGGTCAGGGGTTGAGAGTTTTTGCAGCCTTAATTCTACGTGGTGTAAAGTCTTTGCAGTATGATCCTGGATTAAGATAATCAGAACTTTCACTATTATCCTTATAATAAATGCAATGTTTTGGAATTCCCATGATCTATTTGACAAAAAGATATACATAGGAGAGATGGCTTGTGCATCCCTTAACATGTTGAGTATAAAGTTATGGAACTTAATTGGTCCAACTGAAGCCTAATCCAAAGCTTGAGAAGATAAGTACCAGTAGTTCATTGAGTTTCTTCTTGCATCAGGTGCAACCAACCTTTATACACTGTTGTTTTTATTGAGGATCAATAACTTCAATTGTTCTTTCATTGAATACATTTTGTTGGTTCTTTTACAAACTTACCTATTTGCTTATAAGTTTCCTAATTGACTTGCTACAGGATCGCAAGAAATCAGCGGATTCTGAAGATAAGCCCTCATCTCTTTCCTGTATTGGAAGTGATTTAAGATTGTGTACCTTAGATGACAGCCAAGCACTTATTGATGTATCAAAGCCACCTCTGGCAGCTTTCCATTACAATGAAAGAAAGAATCAGGGAATACCAGATCAGGTTGTTATTTGTCTTGTTATATACATACTTATTCTCTATGCATCATGACCGATACAATTTTCTATCACGTATCATTATGATCATTACAGCCATCCGCATGGCCTAGTTGATTCTTACACCCTTCTGCTGATACCTTCTTTTCAACTACTGGGCAATACCCCAGCTGGTTACTTTTTCCTCTAGAGTAAGGGATCAAATCTTTGGCAAGTTTACAATTAAGGAAAGGAATTGTGCTGCCTTCTCATGGTATTTTACTCACTAATATTTTGTTATTCTTGTTGCTTGATGGACCAGGAAAACCCAAATACTGTTGACTTCATTTTGATCTCCCAGCCGCAAAAGAGCAAGACTCATTCTGAGATTTTTGATTCACTGCATCTTTTTTCTCACCACGCATGCCGTTGCAGGTAAGACTAATGGAAAACTCAATGCTTATGTTCTGAAGCTACATCAGACTTGCTTAAAATTTTCTAATCTATTGGTCTTTTTCTTGAAAAAAATGTTATCAGTATAACAAGTATAAGTCCAATATCGTGGGGAGTGGATGGGCCTCGAACCGTACATCATGATTTTTCGACTTCCTTTTGTGAGGTTAAGTTAACCATGACAATCAGCAATTCATCAGATGCAATTGCATCTGTGCACGTCAGCACCTTGGATTTACCCAGCAGTAGTGGGCAGTCGAGTGATGTGGGCACCCCTCAGTCTGCTGTTCCTTCTGGAAATCAAGCAGGGTGGCATGATATACCTGTAGTAAGCGACACCAAAGTGACCTCTGCTGTTCCCGGAACCCATGTCGGAAAATTGCAACCAGTAGAAAGTGCATCTCCATTTATTTGGTGTGGTTCAAGTTCTACAAAGGCCCAACTCCAGCCCTTTTCAACGATCAGAATCCCCCTTCAGATATCTGTATTCTTCCCCGGGATCTACGATCTATCTAATTACGTGTTGAATTGGAATCTCATACCTAACAGTGACCAAGAAGATCTAGGACAGAGGCAGTCATCAGGGACATGCCAAGGATATCCATATCTTCTTACCGTGCTTCAATCTACTTGAAATCTGGAGTTCATGCATTGCTTAGCTTCCAACTTTGTTGCTATAAAGCTCCAATTTCTGATTTTTGTAACTTCTACATGTATATTATTATTTTTTTTTTCTCGTTAAAGTGTATTTTTTTTTCTTTTCATGATAGAAGGAATTACAAAAAAACGCAAAGGTCAGTGTTGTTAGATTATAGGAGACAGAAAGCATTCTTTCTTCACAACTAGAATAATAAGGGCATCGAAATTCATTCACGAATCTGTGTTCGTTAAACTTCGTGTTCTGTACTCTAATGTTTTCATCGGAAAAATCTGATTTTGACACAATGTTACTCGTTAGGCTTGTATTTACCTGGCGTCAGGCACCAAATTATTCTTAGCTGCTTGTCGATTTTAGATCTGAATGAAACCAGTTTTACTGTCTTGTAGTTGAATGTTTTGCTCATTGTTTATCTTTCAAGAGACCTTGGCATGTACTTGGCATTGAAGAACTAGTTTGTTCCATTATTATTATTATTGTTGATAATTGCCGTGTTATGTACTGGGATTTGAGTATACGCCTTTATAACGAGTAAATAAGTTCAACCATAGAAACATACAGTACGTCAATATATATTTATTGTTGATATTGTAATTATTTTTCGTCGATAATGAAAATAAATACATATTTATTATACAAAATAATTACACACAGTTACGGTCCTCTAAGGAAGCAGCAGCCGGATGCGACCGCCCACGGGAGAATCAATATGCGTCTGTCTTCATCATACGTTTTTAAGACGCTTGATCGTGACACCATAACACATAAAGTTGGTATTACTTCCTTGTTACCATCATAACTAAAACTTTTTTACTCTTACAAAAACCAGCCATTAAAACATAAAACTCACGTGATCATTTATTTATTAAACAAATTAATACCCTCTACATCTTGCTTACTAATTCAAGTTTTATTAGTAATAACACTTCAAAAATAAAAACATAGATGCACAAAAAATATTTAGGAAAATACAATTTAAGGGTATTTTTAAAAAAAAAAATTAATTAATTTCAGTGTAAAAATTATTTTTTATAGTGAATTAGAAAATATAATTCTAATTAAATAAAAAATATTTGAACTTCAAGTCAAAATTAATTCACCTGTGAATAAAATTACTTTTGTTCCCACCAAGACTAAATCATTTGAAAATTTTTATAAAAAAAAAAAAAAAAAATCCGAAAATCAAATTATCTGATTTTTTTCCATTTACCCTCTACGCGTTTCCCCAATTAATTTAATTTAAATTAAATTAAAACAACACGAAATTATTTAAATTTTGAAAAAGAAAAAAAAAAAGTTTCTATTTTGTTTTCACTCGGTTAGACCTCTTCCTTCCTTCCTTCTCCTTCCTCGATGCTTCCTCTACCTTTGACTTCTCTTCTCTGATACCCCATTGTTGAACCAGCGACCCCTTTGACTCTTCTTCCTCAACCAGCCCATCCATCCATCAAAACCTACCTCTTCCTCCACATTCTCATCAACTCCTCTCAACCTTCTTTCCTATCAAGTCGCTAATTTCACATTTCCTCATTCGCCATGAACGATTTGTTTTCCGGTTCCTTTTCCCGCTTTCGAAGTGAGGATGCATCTCCCGATCGCAACCATCGCACCGTCGAGATGACCGACTCGGCCGTTGCCACCGGCGGCGTCAATCTCGACAAGTTCTTCGAGGACGTCGAGTCGGTTAAGGACGAGCTCAAGGAGCTCGAAAGGTTGAATGATAGTCTTCAGTCGTCTCATGAGAAGAGTAAGACCTTGCACAATGCAAAAGCTGTCAAAGATCTCAGAGCTCGAATGGACGCCGACGCTGCCGCGGCTTTGAAGAAGGCTAAAATCATCAAGGTCCGATTAGAGGCCCTTGACCGCTCCAACGCTGCCAATCGTAGCCTCCCTGGTTGTGGCCCTGGCTCTTCCTCTGATCGTACTCGTACATCTGTCGTCAACGGCCTTAGGAAGAAGTTGAAGGAATCCATGGATAGCTTCAATAGTCTGAGGGAGAGGATTTCCTCCGAGTATAGAGAGACCGTCCAGAGGAGGTACTTTACCGTCACCGGCGAGAATCCCGATGAGAAAACCCTCGATCGCCTCATATCTACAGGTCAGTTAACGGTGCTCATGAATATAGATATATAGCGTCTATATATATAAATATCTGGATTAATGATTACTTAATCGACTGATCAAACCGTTATTAACCCTAATTAGCTAATTACGATGAATAAATAGATTGATAACAAAATCAATTTGATAGAAATTCTTGCAGATTACAATAGATGAACCGGTTTTGAACTTCCTCCAAACCATTGTACTGCGATTCTTCTGTAATGCTTTGAAGTTAACATAATTAAACACTGACTCCACGCAGGGGAGAGCGAGACTTTCTTGCAAAAAGCCATTCAAGAACAGGGGAGAGGGAGAATCTTAGACACCATAAACGAGATTCAAGAGAGACACGATGCAGTGCGAGAAATGGAGAAGAACCTCAAGGAATTGCACCAAGTGTTCTTGGACATGGCAGTGTTGGTACAAGCTCAAGGCGAGCAACTGGACGACATTGAAAGCCAAGTGGCCAGAGCTCACTCCTTCGTCAGAGGCGGAACCCAGCAGTTGACTACAGCTAGGGTTTACCAGAAAAGCACCCGGAAATGGACTTGCTATGCGATCATAATCTTGCTGGTAATCATCTTGTTCGTGGTTTTGTTCACTGTCAAACCCTGGGAACGTAACGGCGGTGGTAACAACAGTGGCCCATCTCCATCATCGGGTCAATCTACAACCCCACCAGCTGGTCAATCTTCTTCTCCATCTCCTCCGGGTAGACGATAGAGCTATCAATAAATGTGATGCATATATTATTGTGTAGTTTGAGATTCTGGGTTCCACTTTTTCGCATTGGTATATTTGCTTTTTTTCACTTTCTTCTTCGTGGGTTTAGATGGGAAAGACTGGGGGATATTCAGGAATCTACAAAGGCCAGGATCTGAATTATTTGATGAAAGATTCAAACTTTTTATAGTAATTCAAATCGATTTTGCATACCCATTACTCGACATTGTTTAGAAATTGAATTGCTATACAATGTCAAGCGGTTGGTATACGAAATTGAAAATTGTTGGAACACTATAAAATGTAAGATGATGATTATCGTACATTTCCACTGAGGGTTAGGTTGAGGTAGTAGACATTGTTTGAGACAGACAGACAGACAGCTTGTTCTGATTACTTATTCTTTTTTTCTTTTTTGTAACTAATGCTATTCTCATTTTAATCTTTCTGCTGCTTGAGTTCATGTCCTGTTCTGAATCATGGTGGAAATCTCACATGGCTCCCAACAATTACGAGAAGAAAATATCAGATTGGTATATCTGAAAAGAATAAGATTCTTTGAAATTTTCATGAAAATACTAATTGTTTAGACAAATAGAAGTTTCTTATCTCAAATAAACAGAGAATATAACAAAATTCCAGGGTGCATATCATAACATCTTAGACCAATTTCAGATTCCTGGTATGCCAGATTGCACATCAATATTTTTTAGGGTTGACAATTTGTTTAATATTCCTAAAAGTTGTGGCAGTAGATTCCATGCACTGAACTCCTGAAAAGGAGATACTACCAAATGGCATAAATGGGTGGGTGAGGATGACACCTTAATTGGAATAGAAAATCATTGGAAAAAAAAAAAAAAAAAAAGTCATTTGGTTCAAAAAATAAATTAAGAATAAACTATTATTTAACTTAAATTTTTTTTTTTTAGAATAAAAGAAATTCAAATATTAGTAGATTATAAGTATTCCAATTAAATTATAAAATACTACTTTTACTATAATTGTAATGAATCGCAATAAGTTGTTGCAATGAAGTCTAATTTTATTATCGCAATTCTATATAATTTAAATATGTCAATATCTAATATACCGTGACGAGTTTTACTTCTTAAATAAAATATAACGATCTTAATTATTAAATATTAGTAATTATGATAAATTAAAATATTTTAAGAACATGACAAATTTGATATATTTATAAACATGTTATACCAGTGGGCTAAGCCCATGTATGTTACTCATTATTTCTGTCTCCTTAAAATGCTCTCCAACCACTGGCCCCTCTTCTGTCCCCCTTCCTCTTATCGGACTCGGGTCTCGGAGGTACTGCCATGGCGTTAATACGAACGATAGGCAAGTTTTTCCTCCGCAGTTGTTAAGTTTAACTCAACATATGATATGTACCTAACGAGCCTCTTTTCCTTTTCTCCGTTTTGTTGTTTGCTCTTTTACGAAAGCAGATATAGCCGTGAACTTCACAGGTCAGTCAGGCATTTCACCGAACACCTGATGCTTGTTACCGCTAATTGTCTCTTCAAATTTGGCTTTGATTGTTCCATGTAAGTGACTGGTGGAAATGGTTATAATTTCACAGATGGCATGTTCAAAGGAATATATAATGGCAAGCAGCATCATGTACCTGATATTGCTACTGTTCTGAACCGAGCTTGGAGTGCTGGAGTTGATCGAATCATAGTTAAGTCTGCTGCTTACCAAATTTTGATCAAATTATGCTTATTTTCATTTGAAAATTTCTTTAGATAGTATATCGTAGTATAGTGCTGTGCACAAACATAGAAGACACCAAGAAGTAGTGGGTTTTTCTGCCATTTTTGGGCTAAGAAAGAAACCGTAGGTGGACTTGTTTAGCTTCTTGGAGTTCAACCATTGCTGATGCTTGGTACGACTAGCGAACTCATTCTCCAATTTCTGTTATTTATGGTAGTGTAAGTGTACCAAAAGACTCAAGTTTGGTTTAAGTTTCCAGAATAAAAGTTACAATATAATACAAATGAGATAAAGATTTGAATGAACATATCATTATAATTTTATGTTAAATCTATGTGGTATTGTGATTTCTTCTTTAATAAGTGGGAATACGAATTCTACATTGTGAAATTGAAGATATGAGTGGAGTTGTATAATTATGCATTAAATATGTAAATTATGACATATGATACTTATCAATTATCCAAGATTTGAGAATTAAATGAGAATAGAATATATTTAAATCAAATGCAATGTAAGTTCTAAACTATCATTTCACAAAACCCGCTGCTTAATGGAGGATGATTAAAGTTTTCTATATCTTGTTTCTCTCTCTCTCTCTCTCTCTTACCTTGTATGACTGGATGAGAATATAGTTCATGAAGCTACAAATTGAATAATACCTATCCACCTCAGTAGCAAGTGGCATAAATAATCTCATAGGTTTACAATTTGGATTTGGTTTATGGTTACAGGTGACTGGTGGGTCCTTGGACGAATCAAAGGAAGCTCTAGCCATTGCCGAAACAGATGGTTAATCTATGCTTTAGTGTTTGCTGATATATGCTTTGTTGTCTTGCCTAAAGTGTTCCTTTCAATTTGTTTCTGAGTAAAGATTTTCCATTTGAAAGTTTTTTGTTTATTGTTTGGTTCAGGAAGGCTCTTTTGCACAGTTGGCGTGCATCCAACAAGATGCAAGGTTTATTTGCCCAACAACTTAAAGTTCTTCAATCTTTGAAATACATGATAAATCCTTTACTCCACAGTTTGGTTAATAATAAATCTTAATTGGCATGACATCTGTTTATTCAGGAGTTTGAAGAGAATGGGGATCCAGAAAAGCATTTTCAGGCTCTATTGTCGCTGGCCAAAGAAGGAATCCAGAAAGGGAAGGTAATGAAAGATCAATGAAATTTTAGAATATAGGTATCTGTCAAAGATAACTGCTTACAGGTATAAAATTGTTGGCTTTGTTTGACATTTTTTAGCCTCTTAGCTTATCATTGTTATATGCACTAATGCTCATCTTTCGTTTCCTTAATGTGACTTCAATTTCATTTCATGGTAAAACATATCATGTATCTGGGAGGGGGTTGTCTAAAGAGTTGGAAGGAGGGTCTTTGCTCTTTAGGGGGAAGGGTAATCCTGATAGATGTTTACCTGTCTAGCATACCACTTCATTATATGTCTCTATTTTGGATTCTTGTTGGGGTAGCAGAGAGTATCGAGGCTAAAATGAGTAGGTTTCTTTGAGAAGGAGGTGATGAGGAGCGTAGAGACCATTTGGTTAAACGGGAGGTATGTTGTCAGTCTAAATGTTCTGGAGGTCTGGATATCAAGAATCTTAGATCAAAGAATGTTTATTTACTGGAGAAATGGCTATGGTGTTTTCCTTGTGAACCAAACTCTCTATGACATAAGGTGATAAACGGTATTCATGGTAGTGACAGGGATAGTTTGGATGTCCTTGCAGGAAGATCCACTATTCATTGGAGTCCCTGGAAAGCCATTTCCCAAATCCACCCTTTGCTCACCACACTCATCCAACTATAAGTGGGAAATGGTGCTCGGACACTTCTTTGGAAAGACTTATGGTTGGGAGACCATCCACTTGCTACAAAATTCCCAAGACTTTACCAGTTGTCTACCGGATAAAATACCCATATCTCTTGTTTCACTGTGAATACTGAGGATAGCCTATCTTGGAGCTTTCACTTTAACCCGAACCTAGTTGATAGGGAGACTTCCGATTTGTCTACATTACTCAACATGCTAGAACCCATACATATGTCTCTGCAACCAGATAATCATGTTTGGATACGCGAACCTTCTGGCATGTTCACGTTTAAGTCCTTCTGCTCTTATCTTATTGGTAACCCCAGTGCCACAAACTTTCATATTGCCAAGGATTTTTGGAAAGTTAGAGTTCCTTTGAAGGGGAAGGTGGTTTAGATGGACTGCTATCAATGACTTGCTTCAAATCCGTTGCCCCCACTGTGTCTTGTCCTTTGATATTTGTATTATGTGTTCCAGAGATGGTGGGACTCATTCCCACTTATTCTTACACTGCTCTACAGCTTGGAAAATGTGGACTGATATTTTGAATAAGTTTGGTCTGAGCTGGCAATGCCCCCTACTGCGAATAGCTTCTTCAAATCCTTTATTTTGGGGGAATGGAGTTGAAAGAGAGGCTTAGCCGCTTTGGCAAGGTGCTATTTTTGCTGGTCTCTAGTGTATATGGCTTGCAAGAAATAACTGGATCTTCCGAGACTGGTCGATATCATCCTATGAGCTGAGTGAAAGGATCATTTTCATGGGTTCTCTTTGGCCAAAATGGCATGGCTTCTTCCCGAATAACAGCATTATGGAGCTGCATCGCAATTGGATCTATAAAGATTAGGGCTTAGTTGGTGTCTACACTTGTTTTTACTTTTTTGATGCTACTTCTCGGAGGATGTCTTATTCTACATTTTTATAATTTTTTTCTTCTCCTCCTACTTAATAGCCAAGGTGCTATTTTTTCTGGTCTCCAGTGTATATGGCTTGCAAGAAATAGCTAGATCTTCCGAGACTGGTTGATGTCATGCTATGAGCTAAGTGGAAGAGTCACTTTCATGGCTTCCATATGGGCAAAATTGCATGGCTTCTTCCCAAATGACAGAATTATGGAGCTCCATCGCAATTGAGATGTTATCATCTATAAAGATTAGGGCTGTGCTGGCGTACTTTTTTTTATGCTTACTTTTTGGAGGATGTCTTATTCTCCATTTTTGTATTATTTTCTTCTTCTCCTACTTAATAAAGTTTCTTCTTTTGTCAAAAAAAAAATACTTATTTTTTCTCTCAAAACTTATCATGCATTTTCATCTTGTGTTTGAGAGAGGAATTCTTAATACATCCAGATCACTTGGACCTTTGACAATGTGGAATATATTTCAGATTAGAATGATATATTTCATATTAGAATGTTTGTTCAAGGAATAAGTTGCATGAATGCGCATGCCTGACTATTTATATTGTTGTTTCTTATTGAACTTAGGTGGTGGCAATAGGTGAATGTGGATTAGATTATGATAGGCTCCACTTCTGCCCAGCTGACATTCAAAAGAAGTAAGCAGTTTCTGGAGAAATATTTATTGGGATTATATTCTGTTTTCATATTTGTTGGTTAATTTTCTTATTTGTTTCCTCTTATATGCTGTGATGATTGCATTGTCTACATACATTGTGAAAGATAGATATTTTGAGAAGCAATTTGACTTAGCATATGCCACAAAGCTGCCAATGTTTTTGCATATGCGTGCAGCTGCTGGGGATTTCTGTGAAATTCTAGAGCGGAACAAGGACAGGTCAGATTACTGTGCATTCTATGATTTCTGCAACCATATTTTTTCTACATAAAATTGTCACTGATTTTGTTCATTATACCTTCTTCTGTTGGATTCCTTTTCCATATGTATTCTGAATTTCTACATCCACCTCCTACCTCGAGAAAAAGAAGCTGCCTCTGCATACCAATTATTGATATGATGATATCTATCCCCTTGTTCTTCTCATTAGATTTTTTAGATATTTCCACCACAGATGGCATCACATTCATTCTTTCTTTTGTTTTCTTTTCCTTTTTTAATTTCATGATGCTAAACAAGTGTCTACATGGAGCTCTAGCAAAAATATTTCCAACTTGAAAAGATTGACCAACTATTGATATGATGATATCTATCCCCTTGTTCTTCTCATTAGATTTTTTAGATATTTCCACCACAGATGGCGTCACATTCATTCTTTCTTTTCTTTTCTTTTCCTTTTTTAATTTCATGATGCTAAACAAGTGTCTAGATGGAGCTCTAGCAAAATATTTCGAAGTTATGATCACAATTTTTTGGTAGCTTTTGAGCCATGCTACTGCATGCTGACTTTACAAGTTCTCTCAGGTTTGGGGCGGGGGTTACTCATTCATTTACCGGCAGTACTGAAGACCGTGAAAAACTTCTTTCATTCCATAATCTGTATATAGGTGAATATCCTGCTGTGCAGATGTTTGAGTTTATGTTTCTTGGAAACATGTGTTCTTTTTTCTTCATTCATGATCAGTGTTATAGAGACATCAATGTAATATCTGAACCAGAACAAACAATATCTTAATGAACGGAGTTCTTCTTGTAGCATCTTCTTCAAAATGAGTTGTAGCGAATGGTTTGTGAGAATAATAGAGAACATTCCTGTAGAATCATCTTCTATTTGGAAACAAATTTTGTTGGTGGATGAATTCTTTGGGGCAGCTTGTGATTCAAAAATCTAAGTGGATAGAGTATTTCTAGGCAAAGAAAAAATGTCTTGGTTTAGTACATCAGAATTGATAGGAACGATTCTCGCTCTCTCTCTCTCTCCTCCCCCCCCCCCCCCCCCCCCAACCCATTCCCTACTCTCCCTTCTTCAATTGTATGCACAGTTTCAAGGGGAAAATGTAAAGACCAGCTATTTGTCCATCTACACTTTTTTTTTTACCTTAAGAAGATTTAAAATGTCTTCTATATAACTGTGCTGAATGGTGAATGTCATTCAGTCCACTGGAACACAGAAATAGATCCTCCCTGCCCCATGGACAGGAACTTATGTTAGCTTCATGTATACTTCATGCTTATCACTAATACTTTTTGTCGTACTAAACAGGTGTAAATGGTTGTTCTTTGAAGACAGCTGAAAACCTTGATGTTGTGAGAGGCATACCTGTTGAAAGGATGATGATTGAAACTGATTCTCCTTATTGCGAGATCAAGAACACTCATGCTGGGATAAGTTATGTAAAATCTACATGGCCTTCAAAGAAGAAAGAGAAGTATGATCAGGAGTCTATTGTTAAAGGCCGGAATGAACCTTGTTTAGTTCGGTGAGTTAGAAATACTAGCATCATGCCACATAAAGCTTTAATTTTGTGAAGTTGAGGACCTTGTTTAGAGAAAATAATATTTGCTCTGAAGAAGTTTCTAAAATTGTGAGTCATTCTGGAGTAAAGATGTCTATTAAAGTCCATGACATTCAATTTTTATTTTGTTGCTAGACATGGATGGTAAATGTGTTGGAAGATTCCTTTGGAAGCTATCAATTCCTTCTATTCTTTTGATATGCCAAATAACTGATGATACACTGTTCTCGAAACATTCAAGTATTTATTTCAATATCTCCGTCTGCATTGATGATTTCACTGTCAATGATTATCATAGAAGATTTGTTTATATTCTTCAGCTTGTTTGTATCCATTTTCTGAAACACTACAATCATGCTTCCCAGGCAAGTTCTTGAGGTGGTGGCTGGCTGTAAAGGTATCAATGATATAAATCAGCTGAGCAAGACGTTGTACCACAACACTTGCAGGTAAGTTTGTGAGCTTAGTCTTTCATCATTTCATTATAAATGAACGATACCTCCCATTTGCCTCTGCTAAGAGTGAAACATTGGATTCACTTTCACAACCATGTCAACACTTCCTTGTTTCAACCTAAGAAAAGACCAGTACAACCCCACAAAGCAACTTGTAAAAATTATGGTTACAATTTACCGTCATATAAGAAATATTAGTTATTTTAAGTTAGTTAGAGATCAGTGAATCTTTCCTGTTTTGCAGGGTTTTCTTCCCTCATGACTTGGATTCTGCAGCGGATGCACTTCTTGCTGGTCATGATGAAACCCAGTAAAGAACTGATTTTTGTCTTTCATTCTTCCAACCTGCCAAAGACTATTCAGGTTCTCATTTTATTCCAAGACGTTGTATTGGAATGTCCACTTGTTTCATATTGGAATTTGTTTAATCTTGATAGAGAAACATGCATGTTCTTTATTTTCGGCACATTTCCCATTGTCTTGGAAGCTCCTTACCAAGTGTGCTTGCTTCTTAGTGAAAATGATAATCACTCTTTAAATTATTTTCTCTACTTAATGTTCTGGGTACAATTAATGCATGATAATGCAATGTGCTTGGAAGTCGCTATTTGTTTGAATACATAGTTGTTTTTTTTTTCTTGAATAAGAGGTGCAAGGGTGGCAATAGAGCAAGTTGGCTTGATCCTTCTCTTGTCCTCGCCTCCACCATCCTCTGCCGTCCTTCATATCCATATCCCTCGTATGCAGATGGGTGGAGATATGGGGTGATCGCTTGCCTCTTTTTTGTTATCTTTATCTTATTTGACCATGGTATTAAAAGTGGGAGGAGCAAGTAATCAGGTTATCCAACCTCATTGCAATCCTTATAGAGGTGAGCTCGAATCTTTAACCTTTTCAACCATTGAAAAAGCCCTTCCAACTACCAAAAATGGTTATTTTCTTGATGTTATTATAGTAAACAGTGGTTATCAAAATATTGAATAATTAGATATGAGATATTTGTTAGCTTTGCCATAAAATTCCCATACTATTTCAACTCTTACACGACAAAATGTTTACATACAGGGAGCAGCAAATCATGAGCACGTCCTTTCACTTTTTTGTTAGCATTCTGATTTGCAGGAACTATTGTGTCGACAATGGGGGTGGTTCAGCATGACCAAAAGGGTAACCGATGATCCAGATTTGAGAATTTCTAAGGCAACATTTTCCCTGTAGCATACTCTCTTGATTCACAGCTCAATATCATTTTTTTCCCATTCATTTCTTTCAAATACTTGCACTAAGCAATTCACTGCTATCAATGTTGCTTTCTCTATCTCTCTGTGATGCTGGCGGAGGAGTTAATGGAGCCCTTTCAGCTGCAACATTCAATTTTAGTGGCCGGCCTTCTACCTCCTGATGCCATTGAAACAAAAATAAGTAAACTGAGAATATGAAATGCATCAAACTTAAAAAATCAGTCGAACTCATTCTTACCACTCCATTCATAGCATTTAGAGCAGCCTGAAGATCCTCCTCTGATTCAAATGACACAAACCCAAAACCTCGAGACCTGCCTGAATTTCTGTCATAGATGACCTTGGCACTCATAAGACCTGGCTGATCTGCAAAAGCATCTCTAAGACCTTGAGAGGTAAGGCCCCAACCAAGATTACCTGCATAGATTTTGTAAGGGCTATCAACAAATCCTTTGTAACCACTCCTTATCTTAGGCCCCATTACTTCTCGTTCACCGCCTCTTGGCACTTCAGGAAAGTTCACCCTCACAGTCCGGCCTCCCATTTGCTGTCAACCATTAGTAGCGATAACTCTTTAGCACTATTGACCTTGTTTGTTATTGAAAACGGAGGATAAACATAGAAAAGGATGGAAAACACTATGTTTGGGTAAATATTAATAAAGGAATAGAAAGAAAAACTAGGAAAAAGAAAGAGTAAGTTAATTTAGAGGAATAGAGAGCTTGAAGTTTCATAGAAAATGGGAGACCTCACATTCACCATCTTTTCTTTCCTGATTATTATTTTTTTATTTAATCTAAATAAAAAAAAGTAGGGTGAGCATCACTTCATTTTCTCCATCCAAATCTAGTTTAACTGTATAAAGTTAGATGTGTGAATCCTAGTTCTGTAGTCCCAAAACTAGATGTCTAATTAGCGAGGATCAAACTTGAGAAAACAAAGCCGAAGTATAGGGTATGGAATCGAGTGCATCTAAACGAAAAGCTTTGGAAATTATATATGAATTGCATAATAGGAAGAAATTACCTTATTCCCTTAACAGTCTGGTTGCATTGATCGTAATATGCAGAACTAAAACATAATTTACTGGATTTTAACTACAATTATTCTGGCCTTGAATTTTTAGTGGTTAGACTAAGAATTCCTACGTTTCAAGTGGGGATTGAATCTATTGAAGGTGGTGGATGTGGTTGTAACTCAAACACGATAAGTTATGTTCTTAAGAATTGAATCGAAAATAAACTGAAGTCAGTATTTTCTGCTGTATTCGAATCCTAATCCTAATATACCGACAAGTCTTCAGTTAAACGGTTGTTATGTTACTCTATAAGAGATTGTAATTTCAGGTTTGGTTGAGCATTGCTGCTATCCTCCGGTTGAAAGTTTTGTTATGATTAATATGCATATATCTTATAGTTAACAAAAATATATATTTCTACTAAAAATGGAAGGTGCTTGAGGACTCCTATGAGATAACGAATGCCCCCATTCAATTCGAGTAGAAAAATTTTATCCTAAAAGAAAATCAAACACGAATATAAACACCCAATCATTCAATGTGAGTAGAAAAAGTAAGTAAACTTACAGATCCATCAAACATCCGAATTGCCTCTTTAGCTTCTTCATTACTTCCCATCGTCACAAAAGCAAACCCCCTGCTTCTATCAGTAACTCTATCATACACAATCTGCAACCATTGAAAACAACCAACCACCCATCAATTCATATACCAAAAACAAAAACGAAGAATTTAAAATTTCCACCACAAACCTCCACAGAAACCACATCGCCTGCCTCCCCAAAATACTCAGCCACCTGAGAAGAAGTCATTGCATAAGGCAAATTCCCCACATAGAGCCTTCCAACATCATCACCAGACCGTTTCGCATTTTCCCCCTCCTCGTCCTCCTCTGCTTCTTCTTCTTCTTCTACTTCTTCTTCTTCTTCTTGTTCTTCTTCGGCTTCTGATTCTTTCTGTGAGTCATCTTCGGTGATTTGAAAGCTGTCGAAAGTGGCCGAGAAGCATCGGGAATTGGAGAGAGAAGAAAGGATAGAGAAGGGAAATGAATGGGGATTTTGGGTTTTGAGTCTAAGAGGCTTTGGGTATTTGGGTTTTGATGATTGGAAGTGAATGCGGAGTGGAATTGGGGAGGGAGTAAAGGGGAGATTACAGAGCTTGTTACAGAGTGAGGAAGAAGCAGTAGTAGCTGTTGCAGCCATGGAGAGGGAAGAAGAAGGAGCCGACAGATTTGGAAAGCAGAGATGTTTCTGGTTTTAAAGGATTTCGAAGAAGTAGAGGAGAAAGGAATTGAATTAAATCTCAACCGAAAGAAGAAGAAGAAGAAGAAGAAGATGGATGGATAAGGTTAGGTTAAGATTTTTATTGGGTTTGCTCTGTTGTCACGCTTATGGAGCTCTGGATTTTCTCTCTCTGTTAAATCTGATTTTAACAGGTTAATAATGGAGAAGCTGGAAAATGCATTTATTAATCAGATCAGCAGCCCAGGAGCACGTATTATGGATATTTTTATGTTATTATTATTATTATTATGGATATTTTTATGTCAAAAAATTATATTTATATAAAAATCAAAAACTATTTTTAATTAATTATACAAGAAGTAAGTTATGCAACTTTGGGCATAATTATAATTGCATTATAAATGTTAAAAAATTTAATAATATTTCATATTTACTCTTTTGTTGCTTTTAATTAAAATATATTCTATTGTTTATTCAACTATTAGATTTTAGTTATAATATATATATATATAAATTATTCATTATTTATACATTTCATATATAATTAAACTACCACAGTTCAGATTTTCAATCCCATCTGATAGATTTTGGTTCTCTAAACTTGAATTAGAAAAAAATATATATATATATATATTTAAATAATATTTGATTGTGACAAAATAAATATTTAAATAAAACTTTAGGCTATTAGGATAAAATTCTGTTTCATTATAGTTTAATCTTATTTTAATTTAGGATTTATGGCTTAATTTTTATCATTTTACATTAATTTACCACAAGATCAAAACTAATTTTTCTTTTCCCAACAATAATTATCTAACACAAAAATTTACCACAAGATCAAAGCTAAAACAAAAGCACATCAAGTCTTGACAATTCAGCAACTATGTGGCCAGATAATATCACAGTCTACCCTCAGTTGCTTACATCTCAGCTTTAACTAGAATTAGACTTTGAACTAACACCCAAAAAAAAATGATGGAAGAAAATCAAGGGCTATCTTGGAATGGCACCAAAACCCAGTTCCCAAATTCTTCATTGAAATTGAACAGACCATCCTTGGTCACCATCCAAATACACTCTGTTTTGCATCTATCATAATGCAATTCACTTGAGTATGCATCAAAATGGTGCCATTTTGAGTAATCCCACTGCACATCACAGTAATACAATGTAGTTCCCCAGAAATTTACAGCGAACTTCCATTCAATTTCAGAGCCATCGAGAATGGCATGGTATCCCAGATCATCGTCTCGCGACTGACAGTGAATATTCATGATCCTGTTAGTCCCCAGCTTGTTCACAACCCTAACCCTGGTCTTCCCTTTAGCGGTTGACTTGGATAGGCCAAAGAGCAGCATAAAGAGGATGGCTAAGGTTCTATGTCTAATACTCTTCATTCCGGTTATGGACTTATCTTCTTCCTATTTCTTTTTGGTTTCTTTATCATTTTTTAATGGAAGTAGCTAGTTCTCTTATAGTACTATTTGTAGCATCCAAAGCATATGAGCTGCTAACTACTCT